GGGTTAATATGTTGTGGGGTTGTTAACCAATGTCATAAAACAACATGTGTACTACTGTTTCATGAGAAACTATTTGTTCTGTAAGCTTCACCTGAAGTACAGTAAAATATTAAAAAAAAAAAAATCCAAGGGGAAGAGAGTCTAGGGAAAGAAACTGAGGAGTGGTCACAGAGGCAGGAGAAAGTCTGTGACACCAGAAGACAATAAAGCCATACAAGTGTGTGATGACAGTCAACAGTGTTGAACACAGGCAGCGTTCAAAGGAAAAAGGTTCACTGGGTTTGGTAACAAAAACCACACCCGTTGCCATCAAGTCAGTTACGACTTATAGCGACCCTACAGGACAGAGCAGAACTGCCCCATACAAAGGAGCATCTGGTAGATTCAAACTGCCGACCTTTTGGTTAGCAGCTGTAGCTCTTAACCACTACACACCAGGGTTTGGTAACAGGGATGTCATTTTATTTAAACTGCAGTGGCAAGATCACCAGTGACAGGGGCAGAAACCAAACTGAAGTGGGTTAATTTATCTGCTTTATAAATTCCGACGTTCATAATTATGTTTTTCATAGGATTACATGAAATTAGAAACTAAAAAAAAGCAACATTTATTAATCACTTACTATGTGCCACAAACTGTGCTTGGCAAATCACGCATACTATTTCATTTACTCTTTCCATCTAACATTATAAAATAAACAGTAATAATCTATTTTACAAATGAGAAAGGCAACATTCCCAAATTAAGTAGCATTACCTAAAAGCTAACATTGACTGGGAGTCCCTGGGTGGTGCAAACAGTTAACACACTCGGCTGCTAACCAAATGGTTGGAGGTACCTCAGAAGAAAGACCTTGAGATCTGCTTCCAAAAAAATCGGCCATCGAAAATCCTATGGAGCACAGTTCTGCTCTGACACACATGGGGTGCCATGAGTCAGACCTGACTCAGCAGCAACTGGTTCGGTTTTGAACACTGACCGACAACTTACTCTGCTGTCAGGCACCTCTCTAAACGCTTTTCATGCCTTATCTCATTTAATTCTAACAACTACTCTAGGAAACCAACACCACTGTTATCTCCTCAGTTTACAAATGAGGAAACAGAAGCACAAAGAGTTTTGTAACTTATCCAACACCACAAAGTTAGTGGTAAAGCTAAGATGAAAATATAAGCAGTCTGACTCAAAAGTCCATAATTTTAACTACTATGTCATTTTAGTTCACAAGGACCTGAGCGACGAGTCTGGATTTCAACCCAGGTTCTGTCTGATTCCAAAGATCTTTGGCAGTCCATTAAACAGTGTTCCCTCGAAATTCCTAGAATGGTGTTTTAATAATGATGACCATTAAGAAGAATTCAGCTCTTTAAAGGGTAAAATGTAATTTTTTTTTTTTACACTAGCTTCAAATCTATTTAAGAGAGAAAATCTAACCTAAGGAAACCTTTCCACTCCATTCTGAAAAAATCAAACAGGACCACTGGTTTAAAGACATATTTCTAGAAGGGAGGGTAGCAATTAAATCCTAGACTATGATTACTTTAATACTGATTAGTTAGTTACATCTTTTCCAATGTGACCGCCAGCTGAGAATAAATTCGGATAAAAAAGAGAGAAAAGCCTGCTTGGGGAAAGGAGTTCCGGGGAAGAATACCGGCCCTGGCATGCGTGAAGCATGAGTGCTTGAGAGCACATGATTACACACGCATTTGTGAGGTATGATTTTAAAAAAGAATAGGAGGATACCAGACCCCTGACTCACTGGACAATTTTATCCAGAACCAAATCTTATTTAAAAGCACTTCCAAAGGAGTAACTGCCAAAGATAAAGCAAAAAAACATTAAGTATTACTGGATTCCACTCATTATCAATACTCTAAGCTTAGAGTATTTGAGGATATAAGAAAAAAAATTAACATCACTAAGTCTTTTATAGTGAAAAAAAATTAAGCTACAACTAAGACTAGCATTCATAGACATAAACCAGCTGTCTACAAAGGGATGCTCAAAGGATATTCAAAACTAACAATATTTTGTATTCTCACTCTTCTTCTAAGATGCTCCTAAGAGAAAACGCTCAGTGACTCATCATCATTATCCGTATCTTCCTTCTCCTCCTCATCATAGCAAACACTTGGATAGGTCTTACAAATGCTTTACAAATATTAACTCATTTAACCCTAACAACCCTAGGAGGTAGATATAAACTACTATCTACCTTGTTTTATTGGTGAGGAAATTAAAACAGAGAGAGATTAAGTATCTTGCCCAAGGTAACACAGCTAGTAAATGAAGGAGCTGGAATTTTAACCCAGGCAATCTGGCTCTGCTCTTAATCACTACCTATTAACTACTCATGCTAATCCTTGTTGCCTCTTTTCACGTCTTGTTTTTACTAGTTACTTGTCTATGTGGTAGAGTTTCCATATGTATTTGAGGATAAATTCTCACTATCCCAGCAAGAAAAGTACATCATTCTTTCTTTCTATTACTAGTTTGAAGTAGAGATAATAACAACACAAATCTAAATTTAAGGAACAAACTGAAAATTCGAATTCAAAGAGAATCAGCAGCAGAACTGATGATACTGTGTTGGGAATGAAACATTAATTCTAATTACACCAATCTCATCAAGCCTAAGCAATTATCACTGTATTACAATTTTGGCTTCTAGACAAAAGGATTTTCCCAAAGGAAAGTACATTTAATGTAACTGAGCACATGGAGTTTCACTTCCCCATTTTACAGAAACATTTCCTGGATAAAGTCGGGGACGGACTGACCACATTTTGCCTTGGCTCTTTTTCTTCATTTAGTCTAGCTACTTCTGAAATAGCATGGTTTTAAGAAAAAATAAGATTCAGAAGAGCTTCCTGACTGTAGTAGGCTAAAATAATGCCCCCCTAAGATGTCCCCATCCTAATCCCCAGAACCTAAGAATATTAACTTATATGGCAAAAGTGACCTTGTGGTGTGATTAAATTAAGGGTTTTGAGATGGGGAGATTATCCTGGGTTATCTGGGTAGGCCCAATGTAATTACAGGGCTCCTTATAAGAGGGAGGCAGGAGATCAGAGGGACAGAAGGCAGTGTGAGAGATCTGAAGATGCTATCCTGCAGGGTTTGAAGATAAAGGGGGCCACAAGCCATAGAATGCAAGGAATGCAGCTCTAGAGGCTAGAAAAGGCAAGGAAGCTGACTCTCCCCTAACGCCTCCTACGGAAGTGCAGCCCTGCTGACACTTAGCTTTGGCCTAGTGAAACCAGGACTTCCAACTGGTTTGTTTTGGTTCAAACCCCTGCTGAGAATTTGCATTTCTAACAAGTTCCCAGGCAATGCTAATGCTGCTGGTTACGGACCAATTCTGAGAAACACCATAGTAGAGTAGTGGGTCTCAAAATTTATTATACAGAAGAATCACCTGGGGATCTTGTTAAACTGTAGATTCTGATTCAGTATATCTGGGGTAGAAGAGCAAATTCTCAGCAGGGGTTCAAACCAGAACAAACCGGTTTGAAGCCCTGAGTGAAACCCATTTCAGACTTCTGACATCCAGAACTAATAAGATAATATTAGTTATAATATAAAATAATACATTTGCATTGTTTTAAGCCACAAAGTGTGTGGTCATTTGTTACAGCAACAGGAAACTAATAAACTGACCTAACATCTTGTGGCTGATTTGCTGTCCTACCCAGCCATTTATTTAGCCCACTGACATCTATGGTACATCAAGCACTAAGCAAAATGCTCTGGATACAAAACAAATGTATTAGGACACAGTCCTACCCTCAAGGGCTCACAGTCTGGTAGCCTTCATCTTCTTCCCGTCAACCAACTTAATACAGCTATTTTTTTTTTCCTAACACAATTCAGCCAATTTGGTGAAAAAGAAGAGTTGTGCATACCTGGTCATGGATGAGCCCATGATAGAGGATACTCTGCATGTCCCTGCAAAGCCGCTCCAGGCCACCATACTTGGACCAGACATTGGGGCTGTTGGCTGACACCAAACCTTCAACAGTAGTCTTCAAATTACCCAGCAACTGCCAGTGCTCCCTCCTGCAAGGGCATCAATTATGTCAATGGTTAGTTAACTGTTGTAGCTGATCCTGAG